ACACCTACAAACTTGACATATAGGAGTAGAAACTAGAAAAACCCCAAGTTACTAGATTGATAGATGATTGATAAAAGCTAGAATTATGATTATGAAATTTTAGATCCAAATATTTCAATATTTAGGTAGAGTTAGTGGTTTATAAGCCAACTATTGACCATCAATTGGCTAGTAGGTGTTTCACTCAAATAAGGTAATACACTTCTATGTCAGAGGTGATGAAGTTGTAAGCTCCAAGAAGATAAGTCTTGGGGTCAGTACCTGCTGGAACAGTGCTAGGAAGCTTGTAGTTATTTCCTAGATTTGTGTAGCTGTTTTGGTTGGCATTTGAACCAGCAGCAACATAGAGATCGTGACCACCTCCAAATGTAGGTCCGTAATTCACGTTATCATAAATAGCGTTTGATCCTCCTGTGACTACTGGGATTACGACTTAGGTGTCAGCCTAGAATAAGAAGGCTTCCTTGTCTACAATATAGTTAGCAGCGCTCTTCCAGGCTTAGCTTGTATAGCCTCCTGCAATCTTACCAGTAGATCCCCTAATAATTGTCAAAGTTGGTCCTTTGTAATCACAGCCTGTATGGAAGTTTTAAGTTGTGAATCCAGCCACGCTTGCTCTGTAGCATAGAACTGAGATTGAGTATTTCTTGACTAGAAGGCTCTGAACGAATTCCAAGCTGGTGCTGTTAAGGATCTTTGAGTCAGCGAAGAGTGTAGTACTCTTTGTTTGCTTGTAATACTTGACATCAGTGTATCTCTTCTTCTCTGAGGAGAATCTGATTCTTCCAAAGGAATCTAAAACTGAGACGGAAATTTCATTGTATGCGGCGATCTTAACTCCAAAGGTATCTCTGACATCATACCATTAGAGTGTGAAGGGATCCCACTTAATGAGTTGGAAGTTGTCTGATTCAATATCTTGAGTGCAACTTAGAGCCCAGACACTGCCATCGACACCGACGGTGATATCATTTACGCATTGATATCCATATCCAACAGTGACTCCATTAGTATCAACGTAGATGGGGATCTCATCTTTCAAGGCAAGCTTAGAGAACAATGAGGGAGATAAGAGTTTATACTGGAAGCCCTCTCCAGAGATCCAAGTGTTAAGTAATTATTAAGAGTTAGATTCTTTAACGTTGGTTGAGATCGCATATATCTAGTTTGATGTAGTGACTTCAAAGTCTTAGATGTTCTTAAGGATGATAGATGTCTTTGAATTCTGTGCATAAAGATTGTTCTCAGTATCAAGGATATAGAAGTTTCCAATCTTGTCAAACTTGATGTCCTTTATTTGCAAGTCCTTGTCGAAGGTGGCCCAATCTCCGTTGACAAAGTTGAATCTGTAGGCGGATTGATAGGTGTTTTGATCTACTCCATATTGTTGGATTCCATAAAGATCTCCAAAAGGAGAGGTTGCAACATTAACGAAGTGACTAGTCTAGCTCCAATCAAGAGAGGTTGTCTAGTTCCACTCATACTTATTCTTGGGCTCCACCAACCAGAGTGATTAAGAACTATCGACTGCATCTAAGCCTGATGTAGAAGGCTGTGTGATCAAAGCGTAAGTTAATGCTACTCCCACAGAGAAAGCTGCAGCATTCTGAAGAAGCTTCTTCTTTGATGTGTATGAGCTATTAGTAGCCGCATCCTAATATTGCCCGTCGAGCAAGAGGGTTTTATTCATGCTGGAGTATCTTTCTTTTTAGAATCTTTAAAAGGGAGTCTAAAGTTAATAATATAGATTAAGCAGAGTATTTCAAAGGTTAATAACGATTTAAATGTTGATAACCATTGAAATCAAGTGAAGATTTGAGAATTACTGATTTAAATTACTTTAAAATGAGGCATATCTTTTGCACATGGGGTTTTGGGGTTTTGGGGTTTTGGGGTTTTGGGG